TAAAAAGGTATATAAAGACTTACATTATAGGTATTTATATATCATCCTCGCCTTCCAAGCTGTCGCTAGAGTCATCTTGTAGAGGAATTACAACGGGATTTACAGGAGGCAAAACACAATATTCATTTTCTTTTTCAATAATATGCCTAGAACACTGCTTCCATAGGTCTGTGACAGCAATATGAGATACTGCATCTCTTATTGTGGCCAATAGCGATTCACTTATTTGAGGGGTCTGATTATGTTTTCTTACTTTTTTTTAAAGCAGCCCAGACCAACTCAATCGGGTTAAAAATGCAGTAATAGGGAGGTAGACGTAATACTTCATGGCCATTTTGCTGGAGCAGATTGTCAACAACATACTCTTTTTCAAATTTTTGTCTTTTAATAAGATCCAATAATATGGCTTTGGTTGATTTTTGTGGTATTTCCATTCCCTTATCCTTCATAAAATCAATAATGTCTTGTTTTTTTGTGCCTGTATTCGGAATTTTGTTTTTCTGTCTGGAATGGTATGGCGCATTGTCCATAATAATCACTGAATTTGGGGAAATGTTTGGTATTAACTGCTGCTCTATCCACTTTTCAAATAAGTTGGAGGTCATGTCCTCATGATAGTCGGCACATGATTCTTTGATATTTTTGGAAGATAACAGCAAGGCATTAGGTATAAATCCATTTTCACTGCCAGCATGGAGAATAATGATTCGTTTTCCACGGTTGCATGGTGCATTTAAAATGCACTTGTTGCTTTCGTCAACCCAGCCGTACTGCACAACATCATGGGTATCATACCACGTTTCATCCAGGTAAATCAGATTTCTTTTCTGCTCTCTATAGATTTTAACTTTGTGCAAAAATTCTTGGCGCAATTCAACGATTCGAGACGACTCCATAATCACCATTCTTTTATCTAATTTTTTGTATTGAAAACCACACAGTTTTACAATACAGTGCAGTGAGTCTAAGCATTTGTAATTATAAAAATCTTCAGGATAATCTTTTAATTTATCCCGTATCATTTCCAACGTGGGCACCAAATTTTCTTTATAAAATCCGTATATTATACGACGAATATCTTCCTGAAAACCCACGTCTATTCTTTTTAATTTTTGCCCTATGCGCTTTCTGTGGAAGGAGTGGTTGACTACATCTCCCCTTTTTATAACCCGATAAATGGTAGACCGACTGATTTTTGTCAGGATACAAATTCTGTTTAAAATTTGATTTTGCGAGGAATCTGGATTTTCGTTTTCCAGACAATCATACATATTTAGGATTACTCTTTGGGTCTGTTCCTCTAAATCTTTATGAAAGAATTCTGCCTGCACAGGTTGATCAACCATCTCCTCGTGGCTTGGAGCATTTTCCCAAGGTCTCCAAAGAGCCATATTTAGGACACACAAGAACAATCAACACAACAATTAAATCAACAAGTAAACTGAGTATTCAAAAGTCAAAAACACACAAACTAATAAAATCTATGAAAAAACACGGACAGACTAAAGAAAACACGTTTATTCACCGCTACACGGCACTGGCTAGACTGTTTCAGTTTTCAGTAGCCACCTGCACTCGTTCAGAGCGCTGAAATACACGCTTTCTCATTGGCTATGTCCACGCATAGGCGTGCTTTACTCCACGTGGACCGGTGAAACTGCCTTTGATCTTATACGGGGGATATTTGTTGCGAAATTTGGCGATTTTTGGGAGATTCAGACAGTATTCCCTGCTCGCACTCCGTTATTGTTCTGCGTGAAATGTTTTCATTCTGGTATATTCGTCAGGTTTCAGCTTTGAGTACCCTACCTACCAACTTGTAGATACTTTTTCTTATTTCTAGTTTATATACTCGTATCTTAAAGCAAAAACTTCAAAATAAATAAATGTCAACTGACACTAGTGAGTAAACAAACTTTTGTTTCCAAAGGCAACTTTATATTATTTTGTGTTTGTTGAAATTAGAGTAATGAATTTTTTGCCAAAACTTTCAGGACATACATTAGTACTTCACGAAAATCAAATTTATTTTTTTGCTAACTTCATTTGTAATGGATCTGAAAATAAATTGCACGTTGCCACCTTTTCTCCTCTACAAGATGGTATATTTAAAACTTCTTGCCCTCCACCATCATCTGCAGGATGCCTCATTTGATTTTAGTCCAGATGAATATATTTTTAATTCTTATACCAAAAATATACAGGGTGGCGCATCGAAAACGAAACAGACGCATTTACTGGCAGCTCAGTTTTTTTTGGAAAAACGCTCAGAAGCGTCGATTTTGTTTTCGAGGGGGACACAAGTTTGGCAAAAAAAATCACGTTAACACGTGCAGCCCCCTGGGCGGGGGTGACACCAACCCTAAAATCTTAAATGGAAGGGGGGGTCGAGTGATACCTTATTTTAAAGGTCTTTCAATTCCCTTTATAATGATGTAAAATACATGAGCTTCAGTTCAGTAGTTTTGATGATTTATTGATTTAAAGCTTAAAGTAGACTTTAATAGGTAAGGAGAAACTATGAAAATCAAGGAGGCCATAAAGGCGTCCTACAATTGTAGGAACGACTGACAATACAGGAATTATGTAGTCGGAACTTCAAACTTCGTTTTTAAAAAAAACTGTATTTGGTTCCAACAATAGTGTACATGGACCGAACCGGAAATGCAGTGTGTGTGTTCGGTGTGACCGAGATTGAATCACTGACTCATAATTAAGATACAATCGTTAATATAAACCAAAAGTGATGAGCTAGTAAAAAGGAATACAATGCAATTATTATATCAATTAATAAAGTGTTAAATGACAGCAACATAACTCAGGCCTAACAATCGTCTATACTTTAATATTGAAAACTCCGAATAGCGAAGCTTGTAGTTTTTTTGACATTTTTTAGTCCAATACTAAACTTGGACTGGACTGTTTTTGAAGGTCATCTAATCTTTTGTATCTGTTCTGGTCATAGTAGTACGTAGATATGACAACATTCTATTGAAAGCCTGAAACCCACGGAGTATTTTCTGAGTAAGAGACGGATATGGACTACCAGACGGACAGATAAACAATCGGATATGAGTGACAGAGCGACAGGTTTTCATTATACAAATGATTCGAAATCATGAAACATTCTCCGTATGTTACAAGTTGAATTTATTCCAAAATTTCAACTTTTAAATGAAATTTTCTAAGAGCCAATTTGTGTGAGTCATATAGACTTTCCCAAAGTATCTTTTTGAGACAATACTCATTGATGTTAAAATTATCGTTTCTAATGATTTTCCGACCACTAGCTCCTGTTATACATATTATTCAAATCCAAGAATGAGGCTTTTGGGATCCCATCATCCCGAAGTTATCAACAAACAAGTCATTTCCTCATTCGGTTCAACAAATGCCTTCCTTTAATGCTGGAATGCTCAACAGCATGAACATTTTGTAGCCATTATTTCCATCACATCCTGTCACCGTTATCAGAAAGTACAAGCTTGGCAATTTGTTGATAGATCTGCAAATAATGCGAGATAATAAGTTTACATAAAGCAGTTCAAAACCGATTACTGGAAAATTTATACACAGTTCCCTTTTCTTACTGTTCACCCAGCAACGCATCGGCGCTAAAAATATAAATTCCATATTTACATCATATGAAAATCTCGGTCTTGATGAGAGGGCAAAGTCTAAGTAAAGGTTAATAGTTCAACATACAGCGACAGTTCGTTCGTTCAGCAGAATTCGTTCTTCCATTGCTATATGACGTTTTAATATTTGTATAATAAATATTTCAATTGACTTGGGGATAAGCGCCATAGTGTAGGCGGCACTGCAGGATTTAAGATCCAATTCCGAGTAATTATTAGTAATGTCTCTGTCTTTATTTTATATTTTAGCTTAAGTGATTTTTTTGAGCCCTATCAAAACTTTTATTTTCAGGCCAGTCTCATAGTTCAAGTTATGCAGATTGATAGATAGTTTAGAAACCTAGTATATCCAAAATCAGGGCTCTCCAACTTAATGAGGCCCAAGGGAAACTTCAAAAAAAATGCACTTTGGAGGTCCGCATTATAAAATCTTTCTATACAACATTATTACTGAGTTTTAATAGGTATATACTCTATATGGTATACAAAAATAGTTTTTCTATTATTTTTAATTATTAAAAAAATATGAAATTACAAAAAAATCAGTGGGACATTTGAGGATGTTGGTTTTCTAATACTAATGCATCAATATTAACATTCATATTTGTTGTTGATAAACGAAGTAACTGAGTAAGTGACTTATCAGAGAGGGAACATCTATACTTTGACTTGATAAATTTCATGTTGGAAAAGCTGCTTTCGCAAAGATACGTGCTTCCCATCATTGATCCCATTGTAAGTCCTAAAGTTCGCAAGTTGGGGTATCGTTCTCCTGGCAGTAACTTAAAAAAGTCCAAGCCAGTTTCAGTTTTTCCTTGGTAAAAAGGATCTGATTACAAATCACACAATTCCAGTTGAAGGCCTGCTCTGCTTACGTTCTCAACAGAAATTGTTAGTGGCTGAGTAAAGACTTTCGATATTTTTAAAGTCACTAAATCGATTTTTGAATTCTTCTGCAATTGTGTATTTTATATGAGGTAAATATGAAACTTCCTCAAAACCCTTCATTTCTTTGAAATGTTCTTTACAACTTGGAAAAAATGAAAAATCATTTTTTTGTAATCAAGACTTGAAATGCTTAATTTTATTCTTAAACCCATTTATGTCTCCAAATAAGTTGGCAATATTCTGCTGTTTTCCTTGTAGCTTCAAATTCAATTCGTTAAGGTGAGATGTCATGTTTGTTAAAAATGCAAGGTCTGCTAAAAATTGTGCATCTGCCATTTGATTTTCCAGTTCCGTAGTGTCGGACTTCACTAAATTTTTAAGGAAAATAGGAATTTCCTTGCGTATAGCAAAAAATCGGTGCAAACACTTTCCGGCGCTTAACCAACGAACATCGGTGTGAAGTAACAAGTCACCTTATATAGCATCCACTTCAGCCAAAAAATCACGAATCTTTGTGTGAGTCAAAGCACGATTGCCCCCTCTAACAATATTAGTTATTTTAACAGCCACTTTCATGACATTTATTTGACGTAAAGATTTTCCACATAAGCTCTCTTGGTGAACAATACAATGTATCATAGGACAGTTAATGCTATTTTGTTTCAATAGTCCTGCAAATCCAATTTCAGTCGCTGTCATACCTCTGGCGCCATCAGTGACAATACAGGAACATTTATCAAATCCCCCGTAGTCTGACACCAACTTATTCACAGCTTCAAAAATATCTGTACCCTTGGTTGTACCATGGAGAGGAAGAAGGTCAAGCATCTTCTCTGCTACACTGAAGTCGTCTTGAATAGTTCGGATAAAAAATACAAGCTGGCTAATGTCAGACAGATCAGTGCTTTCATCCAGGCATAGCGAAAAATATTTACATTTTTCAACCACGTCACGCAATTTTTTGGATACATGTTCATCTATATGGTCTTGCAATTGTTTGATGCGATACTGAGACTGTTTCAAATTTTTCGGCAACTTTTAATTCATTGAATTGTTTCGCCATTTCTATTGCACACTTTTTGATAAGCGCTCCATCACTAAAAGGTTTTTTGCTTTGGCAATTTCCAGCGCTATTTTGTAAGAGGCGGCAATACTGCACTTGTTATCACAGTCAGATTTTTTGAAAAAACTTGTTTGTTTGTTTTAGTTTTTTCTTGTATTCCGTTATTATAGCCTGCCTCGAGTCCCCTGAATATTGCCGAAACGTTTTCTCGTGTAATGTCGTTTCATATTATATTCTTTAGGAACCGATAGTACTTGCATACAAACAATGCACTGAAGTTTATTATTATTGTTTGAGATTAAATATTCTGATTCCCAACGGTCATTATAAACCCGATGTTCGTTCGTTATTTTTCGTTTCCGTGAAGACATATTTCACGGAGTATTTCACTTAAAAAGGCTTTAGAGTTGCTGTGTACTGAAGCGCACTAGCACTAGAACAAAACTGCCTGTCCCGCTTGATTCAACCTTCTTATACAGGGTGACTTTGAAGTTGAGTCATTAATTTTCAGATAATGATTGTAGAAGGAAGATAAACCAAAATATGTGTGTAAAAATAAAAAAAAATAAAAAAAAAATTCTACCTTGTTTTATAAAGTATCCTCCCGACAAGTATTTCAGTGTGGACCTGTATTTGATCGTGAGGTCTTGGAGCACCGGCATGCCCTCCCTGTGAGGTCTTAAGTCACCTGATTCACGAGCCCGTTGTACTACATTAACAAAGGCACGAGGGGTAGGTTGCACTCGATTGGGAAACCGATCCGCATAAACATGTGCCATTTTTTATTTCGTTTGAGCCACGCAGCAAACACCACTATTCACTCACGCGTTAGCGACTGACACAGACTGAATAAAAACATCGTGATCAGCGTTTCAAATTCTTTCGCTTTTTTGTTTCCGATGCGATGAACCGATAAGGCGGATTATATCCGTTGTTGCCAAACACGAGCACATAATAATATTATTATTGAGACAGGGCGGTACTCAAACTTCTAAAGGGCTATAACTTTGTTACTTTAATTTTACCACAAAAATGTTTAAGGAAAAAACATTTCTTTTGATCAGATCTACTCACTCTTAAAATAAATGACTCAACTTCGAAGTCACCCTGTAGCTTCTCGAATATTCGGGGATGATCGAGAGATCGGTCCAATTTCCAGTAAATTCGCTGCGGCCTGCTATCGGTCGCCAGTGGCGTCACATGTCATTGTATTTTATCGTTAATGTAAGAATTGTGCATATTCGGTAATTGAGAGTAATTTATACATGTGATCATCATCTCTGATAAAACGTTTAATTAAACCGATTAAAATTTTAATTAGGTCAACTAAAAATAAAACAATGTGACAGTTTACTTGAATCTATGAAACTAGTTTAATTAAATCAGAAAGAGAATAAATCAAATAAACGGCTGAAATGTTTTTATTAAAATGTTTAATTGTGCAAATGTACCTTTTCTACATAAACTAAATTACCTAAACTAATTAAACAGTTTAATAGTATATTAATTTCAATTAAACTGGGTCCAGAAAATTCAGTTTAATTAAACCAAATAATTTAGTTGCTTAGAATAACTAGAAAAATCATTACGGATAATGAAAATTTTCCAGAAAAACTGTTTACCTGATCAGGTTTTGTTAGTGAATATGAAGCTCTTCACGAAGATCACAAATGAAACTGAGGATTTTGAAGCATATTCCGGCTCTATGTCCGTGGTATACTTTTGATCATTCACGAATGAAGGGCTGAGTAAACCGTTCAAATAAACAGCTTAACTGTTTATATTAAAATCTTTCATTGTTTTAAATGTACCTTTTTCATATACACTAAATTACCTAAACTAATTAAACAGTTCAATAAAACAGGTACACGGTTTGCTGTTCCCAAGCAAATTAGTTTAAAAGTATATTGCTTACGGGTTCCAGAAAATTCATTCTACTTAAACTGAATAATTTAGTTACTTAGAGTAATTAGAAAAAAAAAATTTGAACATTTCTCGAATCCACCAGATTATATACTATAACTATCTAAAACTGTAATGACTCATCGATGTTCACGTGAACATCACTTAACTACCAGTAGTCGGCTGTTCATAGGCGGGGTATGAATGTTTAACATGGGTGAACTAGATTTGTCACATGCTTAATAATGAGTGGTTTGAAACATATTGTAACTCAAAAATTTGGGAATTACCTTTATTCATCGTCGCTTCCACTTACATCTGACAGTAATAAACTGTCGCTATCGCTTTCCTCGTTGAAATTGACTATAACTGGCTCTATGATGGTGTCGATGTGGTGGTCAAGCTGCCACATTTTTGTTTCTTCCTTCGCAACATGACGGATAGCATTCTGCCAAGCTTCGGGCGTTACTAGCTGTTTGGAAGTCTCAAGTAAAACCTTAACGTCTGGTAATTTGAAGGTTGTGTTATGGCGCCTTCACTTGAGCCCAGATGAGCTCTATTGGGTTCAGTTCACAGTGGTAGGGCGGTAACCGCAGCACAGTGACACCACATTGACGGGCCATCTCATCAGTCACGTAACTAATGTTCGCATGTTTGTGCTGTTTAATTTTTTCATACAATTCCGCTTTCACACATGAATCGTCAAACGGGATTCCTTTTTCGCGCAACCATTGCTGCATGTCACTTTCTCGAGATCCCATAGTCGGTCCACGTTCGGCTCGACGACTATGGTAGGAAGCATTATCCATGACGATCACAGAGTTGGGCTCAACTCGCTGAAGCACCCCTTGAAACCAGCTCTCGAAGCAGCTGGCATTCATTTCGTCATGGTAATCACCTCCTTTCTTAGAGACGAAAATCAAGTCACACTCTTCTAAAAAGCCACTATCGCTACCAATATGAGTTACGATCAATCTTTGACCTTTCCCTGACGGTCCACGGAGACCTGTTGACAAACCTTCAATGCTTGCTTGTCGGTTACTCACTACGTTTTTGTCTATCCAGGTTTTTTTAGCTGTGTGACCTGCATTTACCCATGTCTCGTCCAAATAATAGATTTTTCTGCTTTGTCGCCTATATTCAATCATTTCGCGTAGGTATTTTCGACGCCAGGCGACTATTTCAGGTCTCTCTATCAATACTGACTTCCGATTACGCGTTTCGTAACGAAAATTAATTTCGTGCAGGGATTTCCTCATTACCTCGACGCTCATTTGGGGTATAATTTCATCTTCCTGCATGTACAGCCTGGAGGGTTGGTATCTCATTCCTAAAGAAGAATGAACATACGGTTCGCTTTAACGCCATTTTGCTATCGTCATCCAATTTAACGGCCTTTCGTCCCTTCAAATTAAACTTTGGATCAGTAGTAGCTCCAGTTTTCTTCTTTTCATGCACCACCCTGCGAATGGTCCACTCTGGAACGCCTGTCATACTTTCACAACGCGCGAGTGCATCTCCCTGCGACATAGTTCTGTTCAGATAATTGAACACGTTGAGCACGATTTCTTTCGCGTCCCTCTTCAGTGCTTTACGAAGCCGTCTACTTGTTTCCTGGCTTTCAGTACTTCCACTCGTGCCATTTGTACTCTCCATGGTTAAATATAACCAAAACAGTAACCGCAGAAACCACAACAATAACAATCACACAACAATTCTTATAAAAACACACAATATGCGATCGCTCAACGAAACACGTTCCAATGCGTTGCCGACGCCTATGAGTCTGCCGGTCGAGGCGCGTCTTTGATTTCATTGGTTCTACCGGCGGAGAACAATCAGCCATTATTTCCATCTCTGTCTGTGCTGTTGACCACCGCAAAGCCACAGAAACGACATATGTCGTACGCTATACGGCTGTACTGGAAGGAAGCCGGGATTGAGCTCTGATCACGTGTTGATCACGCGTATGAGTCATTACAGTTTTAAATAGTTGTAGTATAGTATATCAGACGGTCGGTACTGTCAGTAGAGCAGACATTTTTAGACTGCAACGTTGTCAGATGTGTGCAGACTATAGACTAATTATGGGTTGAGTTTATCACCATCGGTGGAAATCAAAGATAATTCTAAAATAAATTAAAACAACAACTCGCATCAAAATTGAAATAAATAATTCGAATCAAAATATTAAATTAAATATTCCCAGAGACCGCCTTCTTGGGTTTTACAGTAACCTAACCTTTTGTAGTAGCCTGTGCGAATATTTTCTGGCGTAACATACTGGCAACACGGTAGATTGCCTGACCTGCGTCACCGTTGCTAGGTAATGTGGTGATGACCTTCGCTTTTCAGACGGCTATTATCTCTTTCTTGATATATACTTCTTGCGCTTATTTCTCGTACTCATTGAGCTCAAGTCGTCAGACACATGTGTTTTTTTTTCTGTATATATACAGCTGAATGTATTTAACGAATAGTCATTCTTGCCAGACAATAAAAGTAGATATGACTAATTGCCTATACAATAACAATAGATTGCTCACAAAATAATACGGCAATATTTTTTTTATTCAATAAGCAATCAAAACCACACATATATCTACTGAATGGAATTTACTTTTTGGCTGACTGTGTGTATCCATTTTCCATCTACTCAGATCATGCCAAAGCTTCAACAAAACTTCAGAAAAATATTGTTATTGGGTAGTACTCCTTGGGTAATGTAAAGAAAAAAATTTATATAACCGTATGTCCGGAATTGCTTTCCGGTTTCAAGACACATGGAGTCAAAGTTTTCCGTTCTATTTTTCGTTTTCTGTTCGAAAAAAATTTAATTACTTTTTGATCACTTCAGTTAAAA